TGAGAGGGGATTGATGACTCCAGTAGCTGTGCCCGATCAGCAGTGAAACTGGTCCACACTATCTCACTTCCACTGTCTTTAACTTCCTCTTCACAAGTGACACTTCCCACACCAAAACAAAGTACAAGAACATCACCTCCTCAAAGCTTCAGCACATACAGTGAGTCTCACTGGCAAACACGACAGCTACTTAGGAGGCTGGCCCCCTCGCCCCCCAGCTGCTGCTCACCTGAGATCCCACCTCCCCGCGGCGTCTCTGGCCACCAACCACCGCAGCGAGGGAATCCTCCTCTGCCTCACCCCAGCACAGCCCAGTCACTCCGGTGGTGGCTCCACCGTTTGTTCTCACCACTCACTCCCATCGGACACTTTCACTCATGCACTCATCCTGCGTCTCCCCACTCCACTCCGGGCGCGGCCCCAAGCTTCCTTCACCCCGGGTTCGCAGCCACTGGGGCAGTCCTTGTCCTTGACCTTGTCCTTGACACGAGGTGCAAGCAAACGTCCGCCCACGTGACGCCCCCCTCCCGCTGCCCAGAACCAGAGCCCTCCGAGGACCGCCCGGGAGGACTGCATGCCGTGTCCCTCCGAGGCCTCGGACCCCCGCCCGCGAGGCTCTCCCGTGGGCAGGCAGGCCGGCTCCCCGCGAGTCCACTCCCGCTGAAGGTCAAAGGCGCGGCCAAGTGGAAGCGCTGGAGCGCCCGCAGAGCTCCCCCTCGCGCCCGCGGTCCCTCCGCCCTCTCGCTGTCAACGCCGCTGACGCTCCTCAGTTCGTTGCGCCCTCGGCGGCCGTCCCCTCGTTTGCACGCGATAGCGCGTGGCAGCGCGTGGCGGGAAACGCACGACTGAGTGTAAACACTGTAAAACTTCCAGAGGATTCCGTTTTGAAGAAAGACGAGTTTCTGTTACGTGACCATTTTAAGAGGAGAAGCAGATGCCGTTGCCCTATTGACGTTCTCAACACCGCCCGTCCCCGGAAGGCAGGCCTGCGAAGAAAGCACGTGACCACGTTCCCTCCGGGGGATGTTGGAACCCCCCCCCGCCCCCCCGCCCTCCCACCTGGAACTTCGCGGCGGGCGAGGCGCGAGAACGGCAGGTGTTCTGGGTCCGGCGCCCTCACCCTCACCCGTCATCTAGCCTGGACCCACCCCGGGTGAGGGTGAACAGCAGTCCGTTACCTTTCAGCACCTCTGCGCCCAACGGCCTACCCGTCATCACGAGACAGGCGCAACGCCGCACGGCCTGTCCCCGCGGCTCCTCTTTGTCACTGGTTTCGGCGTCGCTTAAGGAAGTCGAGGGGGAGAGTCTCCCGACCCCCGCAAATGCCGACCCTTGCCCGACCGAACACCGAAGCCGCGTGTTCTGCAAAGGGGGAGGGAGGGGCTTCTCCGGGGGTAGCCTCTCGGACCCGACCTCCTCCTGCCGCTCTGCCGGGGCCCCTGGCCCAGCGGAAGAAGAGCCAGCACTCTCGGCGGCACTTGTCGCCCGAACGGGACAGGGAGTGTCCCCCGTGGCCGTGAGACTCACTGCCAAGGGCACGCTGGGCCGCAGGGGCCCTGCGCCACTCCTGGCGCGGCGCTGCCGCCCACTCGCTGACCCGCCCGGGGGCACGGCTTGTGCTCGAAACGGAAAAGGCGACCGCGGGAAGGAGCCCCGGGCCGCCCACAGCTGCGCGGGCGGGGACGCGGTCACGTGCACCGTGGGAGAGTACGCGGCCCGGAGAAGGCCGCCATCTTCCTGTCTGCGACAGCAGGGCGGCCCGGGACACCCTCGCGCTCGGAGAGGTCTGCCGGTCGGGAAAGACAAATGCCATGGGACCTCCCTTCCGCGTGGAATCTGAAGGAAAGGAACAGGGCCGAGACAGACTCACAGACACAGAGAACAGACCGGCGGCGGCCGGGGGCGTGGGGCTGGGTGGCGAGGCGAGGGAATGAGAGGGACAGCCGGGCAGTCACTCAGGGTCACGGGGTCACGGGGACGTGAAGTCCAGCGCGGGACTGCGTGGGCCACGTCGTGCTGTGCACGAGCCGGCGGGTGCCGGAAATACGGGCCGGGGGTGGCGGCGGGGGGGGGCGCCCTCTGTCAGGTCCCGGACTGTCTACCTGCTAGGCCGCGCACCTGGGACCGGTACGGAACAGCACGGAACGTACACTGTGACCGGAAACTAAAATTTCAGTTACGAATGTCCCGACGGGGACGCTCACCTGTAAGGGCCACTTCACCCGTGGGACACGGAGAGACGCGGCCCGCCACCCGTACAGAGGCCCGAGTCTCCACAGTATTTAACTCACGAAGACAGGCGGGGCTCAGTGGGGCGGCGCTGGCTGGTTTCCAGCGTGAAAACTCAGGCGGAGCTGGCGGGGACCGCGAGGGACAATGGCTCGGCCACCCTGAGCCTCCCGGCTCCGCGCATGCGCAGAGGCCTCCGGGAACCGCCTTTCCTCCCGGTGCGTTGACTGCGCGGACGACACCAGCCGACCCGCGCGGGACCCCCACCCTGTGTGGTGCCCCCAACCGCACGTTGCTGGGGGTCACGCGCATTTCCTCAACACGGAACTCGGGTCCACCCTCAGGCCCCCTGCCGGGGAAGACGCCCACCCAGCCCCTGACCGCAGCCCCTGCCTCCCGGGCAGCACGTGGGCTTCCTCGCCCGGGGGCCCGGGTCGCCCGGCTCATCCGGAGGCGCGAGGCTCTCAGCTCCACACGTTGTATTTTCAACTGAACCCTAGGTGCCCAAGTCCGCTGAAATAAATCGCACACCCTACCAGGTCACGCTGCCCAAATTTAACCTCCGATCAACATCCCCTCGTGGAGAAAGAGGAGGAACCGGTGACTGAACACGCCCGCCCCGCGTCACCTTCAAACGTGCAAGTGAAGTAGCCTTTGGTAAATTTAAAGCGAGTAAAATGGAACTCGACGCCAGAAAACTTCTCAGGTCACTTACAACCACCCCCACTTTTTAAATGTTGGTAGTAAAATTAGTTTATTTCGCTGGCTTTCCTCATTTTAAATGGCACGCATTTGTAATCCCCAAGTTACTATTCAAAGCACTACCTGAAATAATACATACACGCCCGAACGGATCCAGAACTTGAAATGATGAGCTATTATGCACTTACTAAATGTAACTTTTATCTATCTCTTGCACATTTTCAATTTTCCTTATTATTCCAACATATTAGTGCAACTACCAGGCTGGGGGTCAGGGCACACCCAAACGGGAGGGCGCGCAGGCCAGGCCACAGGGGACAAAGCATTTCCCAACTTCCAATCCCAATGTCACCTTCCGTCACCTCTTCCGTGTGTTACTTCTAGTGTGAATATACTCCCACTCGAGTAACCAGTTGAATGTCAAATCCAAGTAACTAATAAAAATTCAGTCAAATGACATTAAGGCTAAATGTAATTAAATTTATTTTTCATGTTTTCTTTCATTTTGACCAGCTTTTGTACTTGTATTTGTATTATAAAATATTCCATTGGTCACAGAGAAGTTTATAAACTAGCTTAACAAGTAAGACTCAGATAGTAAGTTATCTGACAAAGTGGCACCTCATTTCCGGCCACATACATGTATCCTATCATCACTGTTTCTACTGTTGACACTGATAAAGTGGAATTGTTATATAGTAAGAAATATGGCAACTAAAGACCCCCTCCCCGCCCTCCAAAAAAGAACAATGTCATCACTTTAATTTTGTTAGGAGTCACAAAAATTTTTATTTAGGAAAAATATTTCCTTCAATGTTTATTAGATCATTAATTTTATTTAAATGAATAATTTACTTTTGCTTTTTTGTGTTGACCAATTAAAAAGTATGCCTTTCTTTCCATAAGCAAACTCTCATTCTGCATGGCAGATAAGAAATTAATACTTTATTTCCTTCTACCTTAAAAATTATGAAGTTTTCCTCCACGGATTAGTTATTTTGGTATGAATTGTTGTCATGCTGCTGTTATTAAAAAAAATAGTCAGTAAAGGATATGGACACATGGGAAACAAATCATAAACTACAATACTAGTTTATAATGAAATATATTAAACATTGTTTAAATATTAAACAGCAAATACTCCTATATTAAATAAATAAAACCAATTTGTCATGTGGAACCATAGGCCAATACCGCCAGTAATGGGGATGGTCTAGTGCAAAGGGTGGCCACAAAAAAGAAAAAAGGAGAAGAAAACACATGTAATACCAGTAATTCTCAATCCTTTCTGAACCTGAAGAATTTGTTAAAAACACTGATGACCAGGTCTCACCCCAGACAACTCAGATGGGAATCAGAACTCGGGAAACGGTCTTTTGCCCAGGCCCCCACGTGGCTCCGGCCTGCAGTCAGGGTGGACAGCTGCCGACGGAGACCTGGTGCTTCTCACCGCTCCCTGGCGCAGAGGAGTGTCCACGAGATAATGCAGTGGAGCTTTCTGCATCCACTGGGATAAGACAAGGGGCCTGGTCACAGTAACTTATGGGTAAGTCAAATTGATTCACGGGTACTTCATTTCCATTTAAGTGTCTTCGAATGCCTCTTTGTTCCCTGTAATTCTGTATTTTCAAACTCCCAGACCAAGTACAGAGTACTTTATGTTACGTTGAAAATACATCATTGATTCGTGTATATAAATATTTCCTGAATGCCTACTATGTGCAAGGCACTGTGATGGCTGCAGCTGTAGGACGTGGAGTCACGAACAGTGATTGGCTGTGAGTTGGTTTTTTGTTTAAGAATTAATGTCTATAAATTAATTACATAGACCTAAATAAGGGATTGAACTGCCAAAAACAGAGAGAGACAAAGAAAATAGGTACATGCTAAGGTCTGATTTTAAAATACAAGGCGTAGCATATTTGTACTTTTCCTAATGTTCCTTACAGTATTTCCAGAAGCCTCTGAATACATATAAGGCAAATTCAAGATAGAAAAATAAATCCTGTTTAAAGTAGATGTTCCCAATTTTAACCACACTCTGTTATCAAGTAAATTTCATACATGACATAAGTATAAATACTAAAAATCTTTATAGAAAGGTAGTTCATGTCCACTTGTAGTAGTCTTAACAAGTAATCTTACATTAAAATATTACAGATTCTAAACCTTGACTATTTCATCACTGAGAAAGTTTATACAATACATAATTTATTTTGAAAACAGATTTATATGCTGATATTCTAATGTGAAAAAAATTTTCTCTTATTTTCAAGAAGAGGGTGCAGAGAAGAAGGGGACAGAAATCTGTTCAAACCTTATAAACATTCTAAAATCTTATTTTAAATGCTGACTGCTTTTCTTCTGAAAACCTAGTGAATTCCACATGAATAAGCCTTTTTTTTCCATTCCCTATTATCAGCATGGACTTTCATGGTCAGTGAAAGAGTAAGTTAAGTGCTTCTCATTTTTATGATAGCATTAAATTTACAAATGGGGCTAGACAATGTCAGCTGAACATAAGAAAGAGTTAGATGTTTACCAAAAAAACCCATGTCAACCTAAGAGAAATCACTGGGGGGAGAAAACAGGGGGATGGAGGGAAGATATAAATGATCAGCAACAATTCTAATGGTAAAAACTGGAAGTCAAGTTTCCGAGTTGCTTTTAAGTGATAAAAGGTGAAATTAAGACTCAAGGAAAGGCTCATTCGTTGTACTATGGATGCAACACTGTCTGAAGTAGAGAAGTAGTAAAATATCTTAACAAGTTAAAATATAGGTTTTATATTTCATACGATATTGAATACACACATAAAAATACCAGTGTTTTTATCTTGTTTCTGTTCAGACACTTACTTAAGCAAATGTGTTCTTTGGTGCCTGGGAGAGTTTATCAGTACTCAGGGACAATGGAAGATAAGGACTGAGGTCCACCTGACTAGAAACAGAAGACTCAAATCCCATGCCCTGTAAGTTACCAATCAAAGGTGGATTTATGGGAAAAGATAAGGAAGTTAAAATCACATTGCAGTAGGACTCATACATTTCCTTCCCCCAAATCATACTCTGGCTCCCAAAATAAAAAGTACTATAGCCTACAAGGTTTTCAGTCTGTGTTTTGAGATGTTTCAAGTGGAAAGATGTCACAGATAGAAATATATCATTCTAAGTTTTAAAATCCCCAAAGTCAGTGAGAAGCATGTACATTCATTAAATGTATTCAATATAAGTAAAGAAGTCTTGAAAAGGCTGAACAGTTCAACCAAAGCTGAAGAATTGTTCTTGATTTTTCATTATTCCTTTTTAAATAAAGAATAAGTATAGATATAGCATACATACAGGCTGACATTTTGATTCATCCAAAATAGTCACATCCCTTTGCTTGGTTTTGCAAATTCCAGAAACTAAGATTTAATACCATTCATAACACAGCATTTTCAATAAAAGGAATTATAGAGCAATGAAAAATCAGAAGCAAGATGGCTTAGAGAGCCATATAACCTCTAAATATACACACATTTATAACCTGTATTTATTGTCTAAAGAAACACATTTTAAGTAATGCTAGTTTAACCAATGGAGAAAAAACTTCTATCAAAATATACAATTTCCATTACAGACTAGAAGGCTAATATTAAAAAAATAGTTGTAGGCCAAAAAGTTTGCGTATATGAATGACGGGCACCATCCCTTCGAAGCATAAAGCATCAAATGAGGTCTTTTGATCGATGTGACCTTCTTAATTGTAAGTTTTTGATAAATTCATAAAGCTTGACTCTCAGGCAGTCTTTAGACCAAGGTACATCCAATGCTTCTTAATCCATATTTGCAGAAGGGGAAATGATGTAATTCAGAATCTCAAGTGGGATTTATGCTTTACCATGTACCTGAAAAATAGTATTATAAGAAGTTATCATGATTATTGAGAATTTTAGGATTTTTAAAATATTACATGTAAAAATAAGTTGACTTTTTAAAACACTAAAACAGGACATTTTGTTTTCTTAAAAAAAAAAAAAAACCCCTGGAAACTTGCTACTATAACTTTTGGAAATACAAAGACTTCTGAAGTAAAGTAGAAGAAACATTCCTCTTATTAAAGTCTGTAATCTAAGAGCTTCTGGCTAGAATTATACATGTTCCCTTTTACTACATTTTCAATTCTAATCATTGGGTAACCTCAATCACCTGTGATTTTGAGGAAACCTGTAATATTCAGTGGGAGACTCAGACCAAGAAAGTTAGATTTTAATGGGTGCCTCAAAGAGAATAATAGACTCAGTGGTATTAACTGTGATTATTTTCCAATTACAAAACGGATACTCTTGTAAAGGACTTTAATAATGCTAAACTAGTAATTAAAACAAATTCGGAAACTAAATTCCTTTCATGAGCTACCCCCAACTCAAATCCAGAGTTACAGGCCTTGTGCTGGAAAAACCACAGGGATCCCTTAACCCAAGTTCTCGGGCGGAGAGAATGCAAGGCCCGGCCCGGTGCACAGCCAGACCACAGAAACCCAGACTAAAGTGCAGGTCTTCCGACTCAGACTTCAGTTGCCTTCTACCAAGCAAGAAGCCCTTCCTCCACCCGTTTCTGAAGTCACTGTAACAAAGACATTTGTTACTTATCTACTGTAGTTCAGCATCAAATTAGTGTTCAAAACAATGGAATGGTGAGAAATGGTTCACAACCTTAAGGAACATAAAATCCGACTGAAGAGACGGGAAAGTCAACATGATAAAGCAGAAGTAAGAGCATTCCGGAAGCAGAATTACCTGTCCAATGTTTCCCAAAACCGTAAGAAAACTGGTCTGTCCAAGTGACGTTTGTGATAGCTGAGTTCTAACACTGTTACATCCCATTTCTGAACGTTTGGATCGAGACGAACTTCATCATATTTGAGATGGAAGGCTTTTACTGCATGGGAGGAAATGTTTTTTTAATTCAAAGTGCAATCAAAATTATTAAAGTACTTTATGAAAAATGAAGACACACAATATAGACATTAGCACCCCACTTAACTTAAATAACTTTAAAATAACTTAAAACAAACTAAACCATAAAACTAGTTTCCTTCCACCAACCAAAGCTATTATTATAACCAAAATGAATTTTGAAACGGATGCTAGAAACTGTGGCATCCTCAGAAACATTCGATTCAACAAATATTTACTGAGGGTTATTTATACATGCCAGCCGCTGGGACTGAAATGAGAAGTGAGATAAAATGTGTATGGCCCAGTGAAAAATAAGAAAGCCAATTCAAACGCAGTATGATAAAGAAAGGGAGGGTATCACAGAGACACACGAGAGCCCCTTACCCAGACCCTGGATTCAGAAAAGGTTCGCACGGGCAGTGAGGTCTGATCTAAGCGCCCTAACGGTGAAGCGAGAAGGAGGCTAACGCAGAACGAGTGGCCCAGCCAGCAGCGACAGCCGCTCAAGAAGGCAGTTCACTCTCGGAACAGAAGAGGTTCAGCGGAACCGTGTGTGCACGGGGACCACGGCAGAGGCCTGGAGCGGCACCGGCTCACGGGCCACACCGAGGAGCCTGCACCGCGAGCTCGCAGATGCGAACAGGCGCCACCAGGTGTTCAGCAGAGAGCAAGGCCGTGACCCCGACGTCCAGAGGAGAGGCGGATGTGATCCATGGGGGAAGATGTGCGCGTACGCAGGGGCTGAGAACTAATGGGAACCGGCAAGAAATGATGAAAAGAGGAAAAGAAAGAAAGAAAAAAACCCAGAAGGCCTCTGGAGAAAGTTACCTAGATGTGGATAGTTTGGTGACTTAACGCCAGTGGAGTGTCATTTTACACATGCACATGACACGAAGACATTTAGCCTTTCTTTCCATTTTTTACTTTTGTTCTAATGTAAGATATGGCTCTTCTTCTCACCATTGTCATCTAGTATTAGGGCTTTTTTTTATTTTTTAAAGAGAAAATGATTAAGTTTGCTCATTTTTTGACAGCTACTTTACAGATTGCTTGTCCCATAATGCATGCCAGCTTACTGGCTTTTGGTGTTAAAAACCAATCAAGGTCCAATTCTTCATGGAAATCCCAAATGAATAATCATCTGTGCCCACAAAAAAACACAAACATTATTTCTAAATTATTTGCTTTTATAAATCAAAGTCTCTCATTGGACCCATTACTCATTTTGAATTCAATTTAATGAATTTAAACCAACTCATTACAGAGGTTTTACGTCATGATTTCAGAAAACCCATTTTTAAAATGCTTTTTATGGGTAGAAAATATTTTTTATTGTTTTTAAATTTTAAAAAATAACTCACATCTCAGTATTTCCTATTCTGCTTAACATGGTTCACTTTTCTAATTTTCTTAATATGATTGCTTTAAATCACTCTTAAAAATACATATTAGCCCTGGTTGGTGTAGCTCAGTGGATTGAGCGCGGCTGCAAACCAAAGTGTCGCAGGTTCGATTCCCAGTCAGGGCCCATGCCTGGGTTGCAGGCCATGACCCCCAGCAACCGCACATTGATGTTACTCTCTCTTTCTCCCTCCTGTCCCTCTCTAAAAATAAATAAATAAAATCTTAAAAAATACATATTATATTTTTTAAAATGATTTACCCAAAGCAACAAAGGCATACAGTCCCCCTTAATGATTTCAATGGATTTAGTTTATAGAATATTTGTTCTCCCAACAGAAGAGACAAATTTTTAAATTAAAGCTGAAATATCAGGGCCCAAAAGTGTAAGCTATAATGAACAAGGTTTCTCTCATCATATAAAATACTTCATTTGCACGAAGCAATTGTGGCAGGCAAGCTTACAGCACTAGGACATTACCACAAAATATCTTTCTTTTTTTAAAAAAAATATCTTTCTTATTCAAAAGAAGATTTAATAGGTTTAAACATCAGCAAGAAGTGAGGGAGAAACAAGCCTTTTTAGAAGCCAGTTATCGGTAACACAGTGAGCACCAAAGCAAACGGCTTCACACGGGCCAGAGCTGCTCACTTCCTGCAACCTGCATGAATCCTGTCAACATTTTTTTTTATGGGAACAAAAACACAAACAAAATTAAAACAGTGCTCTTAAATAACGTTTAGTAGATACAGTGATGTCAAATGATAGAGACACAAATAATACAAAAAATATTAAACGAAAATTCTTTTTAAATGGTAACTAGCACAAATTTGAAGAAATCATCACCTAAAAGTCTTGATCACAATGTATGCAGCCACCTCAAACACAGAATAAATAATACTTTAGAAAAGCGGTATCTAGTTACAAGGTCAAATTTCTCATAATTCTGAAAAGGTTTTATTTGGCAATTTTATGTAAGTCAATACACTTAGGATCTCTAAAACTTGGTGGCTTATGAAGAAAACGTCTTTTTCGCCGGGGCCCACCCAGACACTCCCAGGCACCCTGCCCCTTCCTGCATGCGTGCAGACAGAAGCTCAGAGAGCAAGCGGGATCAGCAAAGAGATCACTAAGAAGTACGAGGTAACATATCCCTAAGTTTCTGACCTAGGCAAATACATCATTTAAAGACTAACTGTGGAAAAGGCAGGTTGGGGCTGAGGGCGAGCACGGGACGCTCACCTGCCCCCGGGGCAGGCTGAGCCTGATGCACGATGGGACCTCCCAGCAGGCGCCGGGTCATGGGTCCTGAGCTGTGGGGCCCAGAACAGCAAGCCAGAGGCTCAGAGGACAGAGGTGGTGGAGGAAAGCCATCGGAACTCCTCAAGAGAGAGAATTTGTAATTAAAGGAGAGAAGAGAAGCAAGAGCATAAATATGTGGCTGGAAGCCAGAGGAAAAGTAGATAAGGAGTCTGAGAAAGCATAACAAGTCACAGGAAAGTAACATTTTAAAAAGGAGAAAATGTGGTGAAGAGAGTCAAATTCTGAGGAAGAGGTCAAAATTGTCTATACAATCGTTGGGTCACTGGGAGTTTGGTGGGAACAGTCTAGAGGAAGGCAAGAAAATGGGACCGCAGTGAATCGGGAGCTGGAGGGAAGAGCGAGAGTTGGCAGAGACCGTTCTTTCAAAAGCCTGGCAGTGAAAGCAGACAGGAAAGGGGCCAGAAGGAAGGCTGAGGTCAAGGGGAAGGGTCTGCTTCACTCCGTGCTTTCAGGACAGAAGGGGCAAGAGCACTTTCATTTTAAATGCTGGCAGAAAGGAGTAAAGAAGAAGGCTGAAGAAAAAGACTAATTCACGGAAGAAAATAATCACTAATAACTATTTTTAAAAAGTCTCTAAGCTCTTCCACCTAAATTTCAGAAATTACCAATCTGAACAAAACAATTAAAACATCATTATAGTCTTTAATGAAATTTAGAGAGCATTTATATCTTGAAGACATTCTAATCATAATTTTTACAATGCTATTCAACAAGACAAGTAGGTAAAACACGGTATTCACATTGACTGACATTTTACTTTTTAATAACATTCTCAGTGTCTCCTGATCTTTTAACTTTCATTTATTAACCATATGCATCACTCAAGTCCCAGAAATAACATACAAAGCAATGCTGACGTTAGAAGTAGCAGAGACCCTTACACGATTCGGTCTTCCGCGTGAGGGCGGTTTCTGGCCGGGAACAGTGCTGGGCCCCTGGCAAAACCAGAGGCTGCTGAAGCAGGCCGGCCTGCACAGCAGCACCGTCCACACTCCTAACAAAGTTGGCATTTTTAATAAACATTTGTTTCATGAGAATGTTTTTCATAAAGTAGTTCTATGCTACTAATTTAACTGGGTACTCAAATTCAAGTATAACTGAAATCTTCCTACTGGGAAAACACAAACAAAAAAACCCAGGCTAAATTTATCTACTTCTTATTCGGTAAAGGGTACAAGCCACACGAAACTCAGAGACCTGCCGAATGCTTCCTCTACACCACACTCTTCTGCGCTGACGAAACTAGAGCGCACAAGGTGGGTCAGGCTCCTCCCATCGGGGAACTTACAGTCAAGATATATGCTGGCCATCAATTTTGATTACAATGCATGGACATGAAATAGTATTAATGATTTTAAAGCAGCCTGAAAATTATTAATGCTGGGGAACAAGCAATAATTCACGTATACAGAAAATATTAACGTTCAAAAAAGGCTTTAAAGTATTTCACAGGTGAAAAATGACATTACATATGTTACTAGGAATCGTTTAATATGCATATCTCACATGCAGACACACAGGGGACTCTTCATCTTAAATAACGCAAGAGCACCCCTATGCTGAATTAGCAGTAAAAAACGGAATCTTACTTTTAGCAAATATGTCCACTGGCGAACCATCAGGCAACAGCCACGGCCAGCCTTTGAACTGCCACGCAGGCCCCTGCACGAACACGGCCACGACCCGGTCCCTGCAAACAGAAGGGGGTGAGCAGGGTGGAGCGAGAGCAGGCAAGCACGCGCTGTGACCCTCCAGGCGAGAGCCTCGTCCCCCTCCACGCAGCAGAGTGTCCCGCGCACACCTGCGAGGCACGGGGCACAGGACCACCACCGCCCGCTGCTCCGTCGTCATCCGAGTCCATGAACGACTGCTGTGCGTCCCGTGAGTGTTTCCCCCTCTAAATCTTTCCAACATGATTCATCCCACTCATGTCCTATGTGATATTTTAGCCTTTTTAAAGGGGGTTTTATTTATTTATTTTTAGAGAGGGGAAGGGAGGGAGAAAGAGAAGGAGAGAAACATCCATGTGTGGTTGCCTCTCAAGTGCCCCATAATGGGGACCTGGCCCACAACCCAGGCAGGTACCCCAACTGGGAATTGAACCAGAAACCCTTTGGTTCGCACACCAGCACTCAGTCCACTGAGCCACACCAACCAGGGCTCTCTGCAGCCTTTCATTTCTCCCCTTCTGTTGCAGTAACTATAGTAAGGGCCCACTTCTCCAATGCAGCAGGGAACAGTACCTGATATAGTCATTGAAAAAGCTGGTTTTAAAGGGCCATCATTCAGCCCTGCCTAGTGTGGATCAGTTGGTAGGAGCACTGTCTTGTAGACCAAAGATCTTGGGTTTGACACCTGGTCAGGGCACAGGTTGCAAATTCAATCTCCAGCCAGGGTACGTTTGAGAAGGCAACCAATTAATATCTATCTATCTCTCCACCCCCCCTTCCTGCCCCCACAATGAAAAAATGACCTCAGGTGAGGATTTAAAACAAAAAAGAAAAAGAGGAATTATTTTAAAATTCAAACAGATACTTTAATTAAAAATGCTATCTATAAATTATTGTAAGTCACCAATTTTATGAAGCTATAAGGCCTTATTTTTGACTTCTGATTATTTTAAAAGTAATCTGAGTTCAGAAACCACATAAACTTTAAGTTTTTCAATTGTTTTACAACTGTTTCACTCACCATACAGTCTTTAAGTTTTTCTTATAGCAACTTGTTTTTCTAACCATTTAATTTTGTTTTCCTAAAAAAAGATCCCACAAATCCCTTTCTAGGCCCTCGTATCTCATTAGTTTACAAAATACTTAATTAACTGGAGAAGTCGTAAGCATACTGGCATAAACAGCTTAAGCCTAGAACCAAAGAGGTGGGGACAAAAGCCCAGCGTGCCCGTTAGTAACCTTCCCCATGGCGCCTCCTCTGCGCCAGCGCGGGTCTCAGCAGCTCACACACGCTTAGGCCGAAACACTGAGCCCTCAACAACAGAGTCCCGGAGATGAGCCCGTCACCACTCCTTCCACAGAGGAGGAAGGAGGTGCGCAGGCACGCCAGAAAAAGGAGAAGGGGGGAGGGAGTCGAAGACAGCGAACCTCGCGCACTGGCTGTGCCACTCACTGCCCCTGGGTAAGGGTCGATAAATCACGAGAACAGCCACTTGGCATTAAGATGGAAACAGCTGTGACCTCTCCAGTCCCCCACTAGGGCCTGAGGACGCCCAGTGCTCCCAGGCTGCTGCCGCCGTGGCAGCATACTGCCAGCGGCTTGACTTCCTACGGTCCGAAGACCAACCGAGGCTACACGGGAGAATTCCGTCCAAGGTGCTGCGCTCTCTGAGTCCCAGAGACACGCTCTGGCACTGGTGGTTCCACTCCAGCTTCGATCAGTGACGGGGTTTGAGGTAACTTTCGTATCTGAGGTTATAAGGCTCTTTGTATTATACATCGCTCAGTATTTTATTATGGAACATTTTAATATAATAATAGTGCTAAACCAGGGTAATCACGTTATTCTTATTAAATTATTCCCTTGTAATAAATGCAACAATGCCTTTACTTATTGTGTCTTACCAGAAAACCTGAATTTCCCAAGTCTAAAATGTAGACCTCAAAACATTAGTCTGTCTGCAAGTGTTGCTCTAAAAGCTGATCCAGAACAAACAGACAAGTGGAAAGAATTTCTACTAAGTTTTCCAGAAGTCAGTGTTTCTTCTTACAAGTAAAATGAAGTTTCGCTATCCAAAACAGAGATTTCAGTAAGAATCACTGGACTGTATTACTGGTGACCACATCAGGCATTACCCTGGTTTCAAAACAGGCTCCGTTTACAACACACAGTAAATGCGCTCCCGGCTCGCGGCCCCAGACGCCCGAGCACGCGGAGAGGCCGCCGTACCAGTCCTGAGGCATGAGCTTCAGCGGCTGGTCCACCACGCGGTAGGGGACCGTGACGCTGAGGGCGGTGCCCCCGGGCTGCATCTGGTCCTTCCTCCTCTGGATCAGAGTCTCGTTCTCCCGCTGGCAGCCCTGCTTCTTCTTTTCGTCTGACGGGACGAATCTTTGACAAAACAGAGAGAAGGTCAAATGATGCAATGTGATAAACATGGAAAAATAAATCATACTTCGTGATTGTTTTTTAAATACTGAGGTTTAAACCCAAAACATTTCTTTCCAAATTAAACCTGCTCCGTGTGCACAGACCATAATGCTCGAGGAGTGCGGGTCTCCTCTCTGCACGTCGAACGGGGGCGCGCTCACTGCTGCCGTGCCAGGGTGGGCGTCTCTCGCACCGACGCACAATTCATACTCGCCAGCACTCGGCACGCCTCAAGGCAACACAGAAAAGCACACCGACCCTTGATTTCTCAAGTGCTACTCGAGGGAAATTTTCTGATAAACTGAAACGGCTTGAGAGGAAGGTGATGTGGCCGGCCAGGCTTCTCCCCGGCCAGGCGACTCAGCCAGCCCACGAACTTCACCAAACGCCCCCTTTCACAGGTAATGCTTCAGCAAAGTTAGAATTTCAGGGATGCTCTGCAAATTTTTAAGTAAGGAAATTAGATCAGCGTATGCCAATTGTCTGTTACAGTAAATATTGCTAGTAATTTAGCAAATGAGCAAATCTATGTAGTTCAATTATCTACTGTACCATCAACCTTATTCTCAAAAATAATTCAGCAATCTGCAGAGCTGTTGCCAGCTCTAGGTTTGTTAGTATTCACAAAGCATTTTAAGACAGTGTTTAAAGAAACATAAACACACACACACACTCTCCCCGCCCCCGCCCCCCCCACACACGGACTATTGGCATACTGTGTTAACTATGGTCCGCCCTCTCCAGTTAAACGGGGCAATGCAGTCACTGCACTGAGTATCACCCTGCTCTAAAGTTCAGGGAGACAAAGGAGGAAGGAGGAAGGAGGCAGGAGAATGTGCGCTGGGCAGAATCCTTTGAAAATATCCAATCCCACATACTGGATACATCGTGAAGTGGTACTAAAACTGTGTAACCCTGAGAGCTGTTAGCACAAGGTGACTGGTCACAGTGAACCTCACTTCCAAGCGGAGTGTTTTCACATCCATGGCACATCTGATAGAAAGCTGAGACTGCTCTGTCACTTAAGGATTTCTCCCAGATAGCATGAAAACTCATCTACAAGAAAGTATGAGAGTGAGGCTACTGCTCCGACAGGGATAAATATATGCTTCCCGAACACCGCGTTTACTTCCTTTCCGTGTATTTCTGCATACACCATAGCATCTCATGGAGCGCATATAAAATTTACAGAGTGACATTCACAGACGGGTAAGTGTTCATAAACGTGTACTCAGTCTAAGCTCCACTCCAACTGGGATCAAAAACATCTGCACTGGGCTGGAGGCTTCGCCGCGCACCTTGGAGGAAGCCTCCTGGCTCCCTCCCCGAAGAGGCGGCCGCTCCAGCCTGCCTTTCGTCACCCAGGACCCGTGCTGCCTGCTCCAGCAATGCACGCCAGAATTGCACAGGGCGTGCTCTTGGGGGTCTGGCTTCTGTCTCGGTTTGAGGTTTTCCAGATTCGCCCAGGCTCGGGCAGTGCTAGCTCACCCTTTTGAATGCTGGGGAGAATGCTACGGTAGGACGACGCCAGGGTTTGTTTACGCATTCCCCTGTGAGGGACGTTTGGACAGTCCCACAGCTGGGGTCGTAACAAATCACACTGCAATAAACACTCTGTGTGCGTCTTTTGGGGGACATATGCTCTCATGTCTTACATAAATCCCTACGCATGGAACTGCTGGATCATAGCATAGGTTTAACTTTACAATACACTGTCAGGAAGTTTTGCAAAGTAGGACAAAGTAGAAAGAACATTATAAAAGCACCTCTGAGGTAACCAGCAAGAAGAGGACTTGTGCCCCAGACAAGAAAGCGGGGGACCCAGAACACTGCAGAATTCTGTGCATGGAAGGCACTGGCAAACTAATTAGACTTCAACTTTGCTGTCTCTCTATTTCACAGATTCCTGGGACAGGAAACAGCCCGAATTCTACTCCAGGTAGGGCATCCCACAGAAGCTCCTCTCGTAAAGCCAGAACTCTTGGGATACGTTTGGTGTAATGGTAAACTAGATACAACCCCACCGACCACCCTTTTTCCTGCCCCTCACCACCAACTGTAGCCAATGCCATGGCAACTGCAAGGAAAACCAAATCTCAGAATTATAAACTGGACCTCATTTAGATTTGAGGCAAGATTTAACCTTGGCCACAGTGATTGGTTTAGAACAAGCCAGCCAGGCCAATGAGAATCAATCCTGCGGTTTTTGCTGGAATTCCTGGGAAACGGGCACTGTCTTGGTCAGTGATTGCCAACCTGACATTTCTGATAACCGCCTTTGTCCCTGAAGGGGAGACCCTGCCCAAATCCTGACTGCATCGGTTCAGGGCTGGGCCCAGCTGTGCCCAAAGCCTCACTCTTTCAGTTCTGTTGAACCAATAAATTACTTTTGACACAACTACTCTGAGTGAGTTTTTATCATTTACAACTAAAAGCATTCTAACAAATACAACCACAATTACAAAACCGAGATGGTAGATGGATATATATGATTTGAAGAAATATTCTGACATCCATTGATTCATCCATTTAGTGTTGCCAAGTATTGACAATCAGTTTGTCAAAGAACAAAATGCAAATGAACTTACAGCTAGGTAAGCTCTAGGCTTTATGTTACTGTAAGAACAAAACAAGCCCTGGCCAGTGTGGCTCAGGTGGCTGGAGCATCATCCCACAGGCGGCAAAGTTGTGGGTTCAATTCCTGGTTGGGGCGCACAGGAGAAGGCAACTAATGTTTCTCACATCAGTGTCTGTCCGTCTATCTGTTTCCCCTCACACCAAAGCAATGGGAACAATGTCCTTGGGTGAGGAAAATATATACATATATACATACATACAGGAAAAGTTTATGGATATTTCCCAGGTTTCCCTGTTTCCTAAATAAAAAAATGCAAGAAAATACTATCTGGAAGTTAACCTCAAAGTGCGAATTTAAAGTGGTGTTAAACTGGTTATGCTCCCAGATGTTCAGCACACACAAGTGCAAATCTTTTCTGGAGTACCCCCACCTACATTCTGTAAATCCAGAAATTTCAGGAAAAAAAATTCCAAGGACATGAGTAAATGAAAACAACGCAAAAACATTACATGAATTGCAAAAACCACAAGGAAATGAGGTGTCATGAATGAAACAGTCAAAAAGGTAACTGAAGGCTTCACTGATGCAACTGTCAGATCAAAGCTTGTAACAAAGCTTGCAAATATGTAAAGGGAAAATTACTTTAAAAGATCAAAAGGTTTGAAAACGAACTGAAAAGAACCACTGCAATCAAAAAATTAGATTATCTGAATTTAAAAATGCAACAGATAGGCTTAACATCAGATTAGGGCATGGCCTAAGAAACAGACAACTTTCTCACTGTTAAACTTAAGGAAAGTATCGAGAATGCACGTGACAGAGAGAGATGGGAAACAGAACCATGCAAAAGACAGTGAAAGATGAAATGACAGGTCTGAAGTTTATCTTACTTAAGTCCCAGAAAGAAAAGAGAGCAAAAAGGGGGGGGAGGGGAAAGAACAAAGAAGTAATATATAAAGCAGAGATTTACAACTAGTGCGCTGCTAGAACGTGTAAAACACGCAACACCTGACTGTCTGGTCCAGGGCACTGACCTCTTTTCCCTTAGACTGTCGAATGAAAAGGCGACAACAGCCACAACAGCAGCCGTCTGGTGTGAATGTCCTGTGTTGGACAATACATATATAGGTCACAGAATAGGGCTACATCGTATGGGTCACATAGTAAGGTTGCATCTGACTGGTTAATTCTTGGTACCAGAAATCCTTATATACAAGTCACAGGCACCTGACTTTTTTTAAAAAGTCACTTTGGTGGAGGTCATGGGCATGGACAACAGTGTGGTGACTGCAGGGCGGAGAAGGGTGTAAGGGGTGACTTAATGCCAAAAAAACCCACAACAAAATAGTAAAATAAAATAAAGTAAAAGTCACTTCGGAGAAAAAAAGAGTAGGTAATTACTATTATTTCCTTTCTGTAGATTAATCAAAATCATACCTATTTTTTGTCAAATCAGCAAAAAATATATTCTTTTGGTGTGCCGCAGAATTTTAGTAATTAGTCTGTGTGTGCCACGAGGTAGAAAAATCTGAAAATCACTGATCTAAAGAGATAAGAAGCAGAACTGATGAAAAAGGCCAATCCATAAATTTAATTCGAATGAACCCCAAAGTGGGATATATATGAAATCTCCATCTCGGTACAGAGATAAATTCAAGACACTGTATTGTGCCATGTATAATGCATACTTTTTGGTCCCCAGTTTTGAGGGAAAACTAAGGATGCACCTTCTGCACGGGCAGCACTGAGGTGCAAGTTCGCATTACGCGCAGCAAACTATGGTGCTCTTGTAAAATAACCAAGTCAAGAAGACCTCCTCCACGGGACGGGCTGTCACACCAACAGCCAACCCAACGTCACCAACAGCGGGAGACAGTGCAGTGTCTTCAATGTAATGAGCAAAAACGGGCGACTCCTGTCTCTTTTCCAAAGTGGCTGAGTCATTCTGCACTCTGCTGGAAACAGGAACGACTCCTGGTCCGGGGTCAACTCCAGCAACTGCTCGGCGTGCCACCTGCCCAGGAGGCCTTCAGCACTTCTATGGCCCAGAATCACGAGCATCCTCAGACCAGCTTATTCTGAATACTTACAGTCAGCCCCACTGAAACTCGCTCAAGGTCCTGTTTACAAACTGGGAAGGTGCTTTATAACGCTCCCATCACGTATCCTTACTTCACTGTTTAGGGTGGTAAAGGTTAGGGTGGATTTTATTTTGTTTTGTTTCTTTTACTTACTGCAGAGCTAGACAACTGAAGAATCCTCAGTTTTCCATGAAACCGAACAACATCTACGCCAACCCGAGCCATGGGTTACAGCCAGTGCTGTAATTGTGTGGAGGAGGTTTCAATTATGCATTAATTACACAGCAGAGCCTCCAGCTGACTCACACTGCAGGGGACGTGTCAGCTGCAATGAGGTGTTAAACAATGAAGGGAGTGTTTTAGACTTGGAAGAAAAATTAGGCACAGTCTGTCCTGAGAATGTGGTCTGTTGAACTGCGTGGCTTCTTTGTAGCAAGGTGAAGGGGAAAGACACTAAAATTTACTTTGTGATTTTCTCTGCACTATTTGTTTTCTTCTATTATGAAATATTTAAGTATTAGATGTGTAATATTAGAGGAGCAATGCAAAGATTTAGAGAATAAAAAATTAAAGAGAATTTTTTTAACTTTTCAAAAACTTATTATGAATTTTCTGCAACTACTCAGACATATTTATAAAAAGTACAGTTGTACATTACTAAAAATTATGATAACCGTAAGAACAAAGTTCACAAATCGTAAGTATTCCAGAGCTAGAAAAGATAGTAAAGATCCATAGACAGTGCAAAAAATCTACCACCAAGTATAATGACACTTCACAGGAACTAAAGTCAAGTCACAAGTGCAGATGAGACTGCCATATATCAAAAAAGGAGCTTAAAACCAGAGAGAAATGCACTAGATAAAGTCATAGCTAATACACACACACTTTGAATTTCAGGGATGAAAAGTCTACATTATTCTCTAATTTTCTCAATGTGGTCCGCCTCCTTTTCCCCTTCCGGAACATTTACTCAGTGCCCATTATCAGGCAAGAGCTGTCTCACACAACAGAGACGGAGATCACAACAGAAGAACAGGTCCTCCCCCTGAGGGCCTCCCCCGCAGCTGCAGGGCCGGGTGCGCAGCTGCAGGACACAGAGCCAGCCCCGGACCAGAGCCCGGACAGAGAGGCATCTCCCGCCCCACAGATGCAGTGGACAGAAAGTCTACTGAGTATAGTGGTTAGCAGGTGAAAAGGAGATACATGAATACTCAAATAAAAGCAACACTTTTTAAAAGTACCTAATGAAAACCATTTGTACATGGGTCTGACAGTTTCTTTTATCAAAAGTCTTTTAAGAGGTAGACAAAAATGACTATTTCTTATTTACCCTACTGTAGATTATTTGAGGAACCATGGATCACCAGAGGAATTACCTGAGTAATCCACATTGTCAGAACACTAAACTTCCCTATCAAAGCCTAACAGCCCTGGCCGGTGTGGCCACACCTGGGTTATGGGCCAGGTCGCCAGCTGGGGACATGCAAGAGGCAACCAATAGATGTGTCCCTCGCACAACCATGTTTCTCTCCCTCTCTTTCTCCCTCCCTTCCCCTCTCTCTAAAAATAAAAAAAAAATAGTCTTTTCTAAAAAACACCTAATAAAATATAATATTACAATACATAAAACCCTGCCCTGGCTGGTGTAGCTCAGTGGATTGAGCATGGGCCTGCAAGCCAAGTGGTTCCCGGTTTGATTCCCAGCCAGGGCACATGCCTGGGCCAGGTTCCAGTGGGGACGCATGGGAGGCAGCCACACATTGATGTTTCTCTCCCCCTTTTTCTCGTCCTTCCCTCCTTCTAAAAATAAGTAAAATATTAAAAAGTAATAAATAAAATCCCTTCTGTACCCCTGACACCTATCATTTTATTAACCAATGTCACCCCAACAAATTTAATTTTAAAAATTCCTTCTTTCCATACTGTTAATGGGAAAAAGTTTGTTGAAAATTTCATTCGAAGTTACTAAAGAAAAATCACTTACTACATGAATAAACTTGTACGTACTAGGTTAGAGAGATCTTTATTCCGCTATTTAAAAGTCACAGGCACATAAAATTCAATTTGATGTAACCCAAAATGAGCAGGTCTTGCAACCAACTTTGCTCCTCAGTTTCAATGGACCAGAAGTGATTTGGACCAGAATGGACCAGAAGCAGCTCGACTTGCTTTGTGGAGGCGAGGTGCTTCCTTCTCCTTCCTCAAGGACTGTCACTGGTATTCTTACGTTGAAAGACAGAGCGCTCACTCACGCTTTTTAGATATTGTCACTGAATGAATATATTTTCCTAGTTGCCACTAAAAATACTTAACAAGAATTTAAAATGTCAGACCATTCGAAGTACAGAATACTATCACTATTCTAACTAACAGTGGACGTAAAAGAATCCCCTCTATTTTGGAAGTTACATTTCAGAGTATCTGTAAAGCAGAAACTGAAATTTTGTTTTCCCCAAATAAGAAACACGGAAAGACACCAGCTAACTCCCCGCAGTGGCCCCCGCCCCGGGAGCCGCGAGGCGGCGCGGCACTCACTTCAGGTCCTGGAGGAGGTCCTTGGCGTTGAGCATGGTGATTAAGGAGGTGGTGGCTGCAGGGATGATGATGATGGGCGTGCGAGACCCTGTCAGACAGAATTTGAAAGGCGGCATGTATGTCATCGGTACTTTGAAAAGAAATTAATTACCTTCCCAGTCAAAAATTTATAAATTTATCATTTTCAATCCTTTGAGCTAAAAAACATCTTAGGTCAGCAGTGAAATTCAAAATACTCAATATTCCATGTGACCTACGCCCTGCTGGTCAGCACAGACACCGCGCACAAACACACGACGTGAGTGCACCGCAGCACTGGCCTGGTCTGGAGTCCAGCTTCCCCACCCTGACTTTTCAAAACACACTTAGAATCGCATGCACCACCTCACCTTTCTTCTGATTTGGGGGAGGTCTTGCTTGAGAAACTGTAAGAGAAAAAAATAAGAACCAAACTTTTGAGTGTTATAACAATCACATTCTTACTTTAAAGTTTAAAAATTATTTATATTTACATATAACTAGTTATAAAATTTTTAAATGTACTGCAATCATCTTAAATAATATTATTTCTCTCCTTCATAAAAACATTAAAATGGGTCTTGACCAGCATGGCTAAGTGGGCTGGGCATCGGCCCGAAAAGAGAAAAGTGGCTGGTTCAATTCCAGGTCGGGGCACATGTGTGGGCTGCAAGCCAGGTCCCCTGTTGGGGCACGTGCAAGAGGCAACCAATCGATGTTTCTCTCCCTCTCGTTCTCTCTCCTTTCCCCTCTCTCTAAAGATAGTAAATAAAATCTTTAAAAAGCAACACTGAAAGGGCTTAGCCGGTACCCAGCAATCTGCAGTCACAGGAGTAGCCCTGATGACCGAGGACCAACTGCGACACTGTGCTAACGCGCATGGAGCACACGGAGCACACGACACGGGGGGGGGGCAATGTGCCTCACCACGTTCCAGGGAAAAGGAGTTACAGGGAGCTCAGACCTAAATCATTACCTTCGCTTCTCTCTTTTTCAAAGTGTCTTCTGTTTTCTCATTAAAAGAGAGCACTATGGGCAATGAATCATATAGAGGTCTGTATTATCTGGAGTTTCCCCTATCGTTAAGAATTGTGAACATACGTTATTACAGCACAAGTATTCATACCTTTTATTTGTATGCAACAGACTTTATGACGCACAGAAAGATTTGCTGGCACATAAATGGTCATACGAGCCTAGTTCAAGATGAATGTATTTTAGGATAAAAAGGGCTATCTATCTATCTATCTATCCATACACACACACATTCAATTTTCTGTGTTTATCCATAAAAATCAAAATATACTAACTGCCTTCCATGTGCCATGTACTGTGCTTACATATTTTTTAGTCATAAAAAATTTAGATTTAGAATTCTAAACATCTGCTCTTAGAAAGATACCATTTTAAAGGGAAGCACACCATTTTTAGAATACTACTTTGTACTCCTATACAAACTCATTGTGATTAGATATTATCGAATTCAGTAGCATGATTGTCCCACATGCGTAAAAAGAGAAAGAGATACACACAAACACAAGTTTACACACACAGATATTTACGGCAGTGTTCTCATCTTTCTTATTGCTGAGAAAAAGCACTGAACCCCTCCAGGCATTTTTGGGAACAGCACTCACGGGTACATCTCATCAGCCGGACAGCGGCACCTGGGAGGAAGTCCAGGCTCAGTGAGTGTGTGCTATCTGCTGGAGGGGGAAAGGCATGGCAGCGTGGACAGATACCGGGACAGGCAGGAGACAGCAGGTGCTAGGAGAATGACTAAGAGAAAAACAAAAGGACGTCTCGGACTGAAATGCCACCAATGTGGTAAGAGAGCCACAACAGGCTCAGGGGGTTAGGAAAAGAGTCCTAAAATCAAGGCCAAGAAGACCAAGTGTAAGAACAAGACAAAATATAAAAGCTCTCAAAGTACAAGTAAAGTTTAGAGGGTCAGTAAAAAATAACCACAAAAGAATACACACAGGCTCCTGGAAAGGACCAAGGCAGGGGCTCGGTGAGGGGCATGCTGACGGGGCCGGTTCATGGGGGAGGGGTGGGAGGGGAGAGGAGAATGAGAGGAAGCCCTACGGCGTAAGAGTCTACACACAAACGATCTCAATTTGGGCCCCCGTTTTGCCACTTTCTAGGCAAATTACCCTGGCCAGTCTGACTGCTCAACCTCAGGTGTCCCCAGCCGTAACACCAAGGTAAGTTTCTACACCTGGACACTGTGCAAGGCTCTCCTGAACCGGGTATGGTGGGCGCTACCTGTCACAGCCCTGACCCCCTCCTCCACTAAATGCAGGGACTGATGATGCACAGGCTCAGAGGAAGCATTACCGTTGCTATGTTTGATTTCAAATATAATTACATTCTTCACTTAAGTATGTCTCAGAGGCCGTGTACAAGTCACTCTGCTACATCCTGTTATTACAGCGACAAACAAAAGAGAAACAGCCCCTGCGCCCGGAGACCCTCCAGTGCAGAAGTGGAGCCAGACCACCCACGGGCCACGGCACACAGACGCACGGACAGGTCTGAACAGGCAGTGCTGAGGGGCAGAGGAGTAACCCTGCAGGACGGTGTCCTTGCGAGAAGGCCCAGAAGCCCCTCGCAAAGGAAGAAAAGGCGCCAACTGCGGAGAACGAGGGGTCCAACGGCGAGACGGGAGGCGGGCCCGGCGGTGGGCGGAGGTGGGACGTGAGCAGATGCCGGCGCCCGGGGAGCCGCTTGGGCGACATTAAGTGCGTACACAAGCGCCACTGGAAGACGCAACTTTTAAGCCAGAAAGTGACACAACATTCACCTCACCTCTCCTGTGAGGGAAAGACAGGGTTCAGACAGGGACTCCGAGGAAACGGCAGGAAGGCGGAGGCTGCGCTGGGGCTGTTCCCGTGGGGCGAGGGCCAGCTCGGCACTGAAGGGAACGCGGCGCCACGGACTGTCGCCAGCACCCGTGGGCTGGACCAGACCAGACCGCACCCTCCATGTCCAGGTGCACCTTGTGGGGACGTGGAGTGATGTTTTACCATGCACTGATCTAGCCTGGACCGGTGCGGCTCAGGGGCTGGGCACTGTCCCGCAGGCCGGAAGGTCACAGGTTTGATTCCCGGTCAGGGCACAAGCCTGGGCTGTGGGCCAGGTCCCTGGTCAGGGGCATGTGAGAACCACCCGATCGATGTGTCTCTCCCTCTCTTTCGCCCTTCCACTCCCCTCTCTCTAAAAGTAAATAAAATCTTTAGAAAAGGAGACCCACGGATCTAGAGAAATAATGATGGCTGACACTTGAGTTGTGGTGGTGGAGACGAAGAGAAAACAGACGGATCTGGAATACAGAAGGTAAATCTGACAGAACTCATGACATTAGATGAGAGGCACAGCAAATCTGAAGGATGAAAAATAGCTCCTAAACTTCTGGCTTAGGAAACAGAGTTAAGGCTGGTGCCTTCTATCCATGCAGCAGGGAGTGGGAAGTAGACCTCTCGGGGGAGATGCCAGGGAACAAAGGTTCTACATCAGCTTTAAGACGCCTGTGGCACGTCCCAACGTTAGGCAGTCAGTGTAAGACACCAAGGCAGGAAGAGGCGCCTGAGCTGCAGACACGAGCGTGAGCGTCACCAGCACGTCAGCCCACGACCACGGAAGGAGGTGCTCCCACGGCACCTGTGTGACGCAGCGGACGCCTGAGCAGCACGCGCCATCTGTCTGAGACACAGAGGGCCGACTCTTCCTCGCGCTGACCGAAAGCAGGGCTCCCGCCAGAAGCTCTGCGAAGTGCAGGTGGCTCGTAGAACTGGGGCTGGAGGAGCCAGCTGTGCCCGTGCGTGTCAGAAAGGGGGGTGGTCCCTCGGGCTACAAGAGGCAGTGGCAGCGAGCCCAGGGCCCCGCCCACCAAGGCCAGTGCCGCCCCACCCACTGGGCCCCGTGGGCCTCAGCAGCCACTTTTCCCACCTTTGCGCAGTACAGTTTCTAGAACAGTGACTCCACAACCCTGTATGACAAATGGCACACACAGCTGAAACTCGAAGCAACAAAGTGGCGTTATCAGTCTATTAAAATTATGAAAGCTTGCCCTGGCTGGCGTAGCTCTGTGGATTGAGCTCGGGCTGCGAACCAAAGCGTCGCAGGTTCAATTCCCAGTCAGGGCACATGCCTGGGTTGCAGGCCATGACCCCCAGCAACCGCACATTGATGTTTCTCTCTCTCTCTCTTTTCCCTCTCTAAAAATAAATAAAATAAAAACCTTAAAAAATCAGTAAAAATTAATAAATCAATCTTTTAAAAAATTATGAAAGCTTTATGCTTTATGAAGAAAACATGTCCCATCAGGGGACTCAAACAAGGAATAAGTAAGGGGAGGTGCATGTAAACTTTTTTAAAACATTTTTATAAAATGTTAAAATCATTTTCTTAAAAATTTTCTTTACCTTTTCAAATATACCTATTGCCAGGTACACGTTCTTATGCTATTACTTTAGAAGTGTTTTAACGACAATCTTAATTCTTTCAAAGCGTCATAAACAACAACAGTTTTTCACTCTTCTGATCACTTAGGAAAAAGAAATTGTCTGTTTTCACCTGGTCTCGGTACTGGCTGTGCTGCAGGAGTCTGAGTCTTCCGGGCCGATGCACCCTCCTTTAAGAGAATGAAAAATGACACATGACATCAAAGTTTCTTTACATAATAAACACTTTCATTTAATTACTGCGAATACATTCCATACCTAGTTGTTTCTCAGTCACCCCAATGAACGTGCTATGGTCCTAAGAGTATAAAATAAAATAAATACCTTTTCCTTATTTTTTATGCTATTGGTCATGAGGTGGAAATAGAAACTTAAGTGGAAAATAAATTTAAAATTGTTACTATACAGTAGTTATTATAAGCATAATATTTCTCAAATATTCAATGATTTAATTGCTGACAATTTTAACATCTCAAATATGTCATTACCTGTTTTTAATCAAGTCAACCCTTTTTTCCCTTCAAACAGTTTCAAAATGAATAATTAATATATAACCTCACATTAGAAAGATGTAAACAAAGCCACAAACACTTCATATTAAATGCCTTTGAAATATTCAGGGAAAATAATCCCATTTACAAAGATGAGATCTGTCATATTTAAGAGTGGTTGAAGATATCTTAAAACTGAATAGCAAATCTCAACTGATCACTAAGCATGCAATGTGTACAAGAAAACATGCTGAGTGCTGAGTCTTGCCCATCATTTACTCAGGCGTTGATGCCTCTGAAAGACCTACGGCACCTGCCACAGCCCACGGGCCTGACTTCAGAATGGCGAGCTACGGCGAAGTGCAGAACGCAGTGAAGTACCACCTTCCCACCACGTGCGCTGCAGTTCAACTCCCAGGAAAATTCAGCGTGTGTCTGACCTTTACAGAATAGACCTGGCCGTCCAACTGTCTTAGGTTTGTGGGATTATAAAGAAGGCGTCCCGCTCACACACAAGTCCTGCAGAACGTGGAACCAGGTCTCGCTGTTTTTGACGGCTGTCCCACAGACTCCAGACTACCGTTCAGGGCCCCCTCAACGATCGACCTTCACCAGTTCTGTCCACCAAAAATGAACTCCCCCACAAATTTCTACAGCACCTCCTAGAGAGCAGCACTGCCCCCAGTGTCACCCCTCTAACCCAGAGTATCCCCTGAATGCAGCAAGTAACAGCTGAAAGAATCCTAGTTGATCTGTGCTCAGCAGCATCTCGGGGCTACCGAGGAACCAAGGTCAGCCCACGCATGCTAGCCAAGTATGTCCTACCTCACTCCTGATTTTACATGCTTCCATTCCCCCTTGGGGTCATGAACAGGGGTCTACCATTGGTTCTGAAAAAGACACTTAAATTTAGCCCTGCTCTGAAGTCAGAAAACTTCTCAGGCCTGTGGCGCAAGCTGGTGAGAAGCGAGGGAGAGAGACGGGCAGCCCGCACCGACACCTCACTCTGAGACTGCCAGTTCCAAGTCCGCTCACTCCCACTTCAGGAGTTCAAGGAAAAGTGAAACTGGTTTGTAAATCACCGACTGTCTTCAAAGAAAAATTCTAAAGCCTTAACAATTCCTCTTGAAAAGGGAAAAACTATTTACTAAATTTAAATAGTCAAAATTCACCATTTGTCCAAATCTCTTCATGTAATGAAAAAGATTTCATCTCATTTTAAGGCTAAACAGTCAAGAGATACAAATCCCAAGCAAAGTGCTGACCAATCACAATTAAACTAAAACTGGTCTCTAAGTAAATGTGGAACGGCACTTTCAGAGCAATGTGGGGGCAATTCCATCTGACCCAAAACATCAGCATCTGTTTCCTGCACTGGAAAAAAAAATGGGTGGTTCTTTGGGTGAACACTACCTGAAATACTGGCTTGGCCAAAAAGTCCAAATGGTTTTTCCCATAAAAGACTTGTTTTTCATTCTCACCAGTAACTTGACTGATTTGGATATTTTGTTGGCTCTCTCCCGAGTGGTATAACCTTGATTGTTCTCAAGTAATGTCTCGATTTGATCACTACCAACTTCAACTGGTCCACTGGGCCGTGTACCATCGTCCAGCAAGAGCTCTTCAACACGAATCTTCACAAACCGCTTTTGACACATTTGGTCAGTCATAGCACCTTCTCCATACTCTGCGCAATTTTTTTGTGTGTGTTTCAGTTGCATTTTACCTTTATTGAAATCATAAAGCATAATATGCCAAAAATGTGTATTTTCTTCCATCTTCAATATTAAAATAGCTATACAAAAATTCACCAAGTTTGTTGTTTTTTTAAATGCACACTGATATGACAGCTGTCACAATACAATCTAACAAAACTGTTTCAAATGAAGTTAAAGACAACTAAGCACTACTAGAGTCACCTTATAGAAAAAAATTAACAAGCTTTTTTTGGCCAACCCGATAAATGCATCTGGGGCCCATACTCATACTGAAGCACAAGCAGGAACGGAGACCAGCGTGGGAGAGACCAGACTCTGGCCTCCCTTCCCACTCGAGGACAAGCGCAGGTGTCCAGGGACTGAAAATCACTCGGCAGGGGCGCATGCTCTCCCCACACCCCCTTCTCCCTCACTCTTTTCACCAAGGACATTCAGTTGAATTTACCTAGATAACAGATAATACAAGTCCAGGAAATGGCTTATCTTTACTCTTAGATAATAAGCATGCCTATACCTGATTCATCACGTAATGATCACTTGAAAACTACTAACCACCGGAATAAAACAATTACTTCTGGGTCCAGGAGAAACCAGGAGCTGGGAGGCGTGGAAAGGAATACGGGAAACCTCACTTGAAGCTGACGGGAGGAGCCCTGAGGAGGGGCGCCCACACGCCACCACCCACAGCTGCGTGCTGCCACACCCCGAGCGCCTGCTTCCCCCCGAGGGGCTGGCACTCAGAGCCCCTCCCGCTCTCCCCTTTTCTCTGTAAACTCAGGTTCCTCTCCGATAGTCTCCAGACCTGCTTACGGTTTGTCACAGCTTTCACCTCCCAATTTGCAATTCCTCAGCCATTCCTAAATAAACTCGCATTCGCTGATAAAATAATTACTTTATTTTTAATGCTGACAGAGGCATTGCAAGCCTTGTCACTAAACTCTGACTCCTTGAGGGCTGCTCCAGACCGCCCAGGAAAATGCTAATGCCAACCCCAACAGCTCTGACTACTGCACACTTAGTAACGACGACCTTTACCCCATGAGTGACACATTATAGACTAAAATGTAGGCTTATGCCAGTAAAAATTACAACACAGTTATAACTATAAAGCTAAACAAACAGAAGAGGTGCCAGTCTGACAAAGAAACTCACTGCATTTACTGGGCAAGTTCACCCATACATTTCAGATGTTAAAGAAATTAGACTAAAGGGAGAACTTCTACAAGCCTGTCTGTCCTAAGATTTTTACAGATTCTCTTGGCTGGAAACATGCAGGTTGCTAGAAAAAGTTCCTTCTGCGAAAGGAACCTTTCTTTATTTCATGCCTGCTCTAGTTTTCTGTACTTTGTGAGAAGTTCTTAACCAGCTTAACTTGAACTTAAGAAATAGAATGCAGGTGTACCTAAAAGTTTAAAGTAAATTCTGATTAAGTACACAGGCCCCTTTTTATTAGTTTTCAGGACTCTGCTGTATAAACACTTGCCCCATAGCAAGCAGAAGTAATCAACAATCTGCGTGGAAGTCAGGGGCACCAGGCAATACTAAAAGTTCCCCACTAGCCAGCAAATGACCTATGGAGATCTCTTAATAACCAAGATCCAAAATAAATCCAGTGGGACATCAAAGAAGAATCCAATCAAACTGGCAAAAAGTAATTACTTCGCCCTTCCTGGAGAAAGGGCAGGAAATACGACTACAATACCTTTGGATCCCGCTCACTTCAATGAGCTGTGCCTAACACAGGTGCGGGCACACAGCAGCTGACCGACATGAACTTGTCGAGCAGATGAGGCAAGTGAAACGTAAACCCCCCACTGACACTTCCACAAATGACCTCTGGGTGTGCGGTCCCAGCAGGAGAAGATCCTATCACTCCCGGCAGTGCCATGGAGCATAATGGTTAGGAATAGAGTGTGAGGACTTAGCTGATCTTATTTTAATTCCCGGCTGGACTCCTCACCACAAATTAGCTCCTACTTGGGATAATTATTTTACAACTCTAAGCATGGCTCCCCATCTTCAAATGGGTATCACGATCATAAAACTATGATGAGCACGAAGGCCATGTCCGTCGCATCTCAGGTAGGCCAGCGTCCATCTGGACTCGGGGTCAGTGCTCAGTAATGGTCACTCTGCTGGCCACACAGTGCAGCCTGCACAAGGAACTGCTGATAAACACTGATCTGCTAAAATCGACATCCGCTTGTTTAAAACAAGTTGCTGTACATAGGCACTTAAGCATTGCTCTGCTACCTAAATCAAACACACGAACACAGGGAGCAGTAAGCACGCAGCAGGGTGGACAGAGGACTGAACGCTGGGACAACCTGGGTTTCCGCTTTCCCCTTCACTCAGGAGAGAACTGCGACCTCGGGACTCGAGGTCTGGGGTTCCCCATGTACAAAATGCCCAATGTTCCTTCTAAGATTTCCAGGGAAGTCACAGACATTCCTAAAAACAGTCCCAGAATTCCTAAACTACATTTCATCAGCTACACTAAAAATGTAATGGGCAAAAATTAAAAATATCAGATGGCTGGCACTGAATTCAAACAGTCAGTGTGAGCGGCCCGCTGGCTCTGGAAACCAAACCACTTCTGTCCAGTCGTCCACCTCCCGGGGCTGCAGCTGCGGCGGTGGTGCCCAGGCTCCGGGAAGACAGGCTGCGTGGCTTCCAGAATATTTAGAAGATGCTTCAAAGAAGATGAAAGTGGGCTTATGTTTTATAAAACCGGTTCACCCATGTTCAGGGGAAGGAGCCCTTTCTTGTTCAATGTGTGTCTATTGAAGCTGTCTGAAATGAATTTTCAAGGAAAACACCATTTTTGGTTCTTCAATCCGCCTGTTCAGTGGCATCTTCTCTGCTTGGCCACACCCCTGGACCCTCGCCCGCTGCACCTCCACTACTTCACAGAGGCTGACCACGTGGGACAGGTTCAGCCTCCAGACCAAGGTGTGGTGGATGATGTTTCTGAACTGCATCTTGTTGCTGAAACGTCCAGTAGATGAGAAGCTACTTCAGCACATGACAGAGGTAAAGAAATAGACAAAAGGAAGTATTACAAGTATAGCGAAGAAAAGACATGAGGCTGGAAGAAGGCTCATCCAACTATGGCGGCCTTAGAAACCAGTCACAGAAAGACCAGTGCCCAGGCAGGGTCAGCGGCACTGCTCTCCAGACGCCGGGCTCCCAGGGACGCGAAAGAGGACCGTGTTCGCTGTGCCCGTGGTCTGATGCTTGATTACAACCCGGAAGAGCTACGTGTCGCCCTGCTACGTATCACCCTAGCTAAATACTTGAAGCTTCCAGGCCCTTCAGCTTCGCTGCCAAATCTTCCATCAATGGAAGTTATCAGATGAGCCCAGAGAAGCAGAAGAAGATTACACTAAGTTTAATACTAAAGACTTGAAGGCTGAAAAGAAAAATAGCAAAATGACTGCAGCTCAGAAGGCTTTGGCTCAAGTTGATAAGACTGGGATGAAAAGTATTGATTCCTTTTTTGGTGCAAAAAGTTTTTAAAAGTTGGAAAGATTTAAAACTTTGGAGATGAAATCTAGAAAAAATATTTGTCTTTTACATGTGCCATTTTTGTCTTTCCTCCATGTTACTGCACTTCCTGTCAATCACCACCCTTTGACATTTTTTAAAAAATGCAGTTTTCAGATTCACTCAAACATTTCTTTGTATTCGAATTTTATGTTTCTGCAGAATATATGGAAAAGTAACTGTGTAAACTGAATGGCTTATAGACTTTGGAGTCTTAACTTGAATACTGAAAAGTAATCAAATAACTAGAATTACTCTCTAACATCTCAATTTCCTCACAATAAACATGTAGAATAAAAAATTAGATGAGATATAAATCTATCTTTGAAATAACAGACATTATTGGGGAAGACAGGCAGGATCAAGGGTATATTATGACCACAAACATATAGCTTCAGTTCCAAAACTATACATTTCTAGGAGTTAATGTCCCTAATGTCTGAGGAAAAACTGGTAATTCAAGATATTAAAGAAAAAAAAGCACAATGCCCCAATACTCTACAGCAAAAAAGAAAGAAAGAAGGTGCCCAGGAGACTAAACATACAAAGAAATACTTGAGTATGTAGTTCTTGCTAAAAAATATGCTTCAGAGCAAGTTACTAGCCCATCCTGAAATATTAGAATAAGCAAATATGATTAGTAAAACCTAATTACCCATCAAGAAGATCCTGTACAAGTGCACTGTATCTAGTATATCATTTTGTTGAATTCTATCATACATGTAATTTTAAAATAAGGAAAAATTAAATAAATAATAAATGTTTACATTAAAATTGCTTAAAAATAAAGTTCTGCTGCCTTCAAGAACATCGGAAACTACTCAGAGGGGAAAAAAGAGGCACACTGTATCACATCATGTGTCAGTAACGCAGCCCAGGGCAGCTGATTTATATAAACCCCAGAAAAAGGGGGTGGGGGTTGTGCCTAAGTTACAGGTGAAAGAAAACAGTCTCTGAGTCTTAATTAGGTATTTGTAAAAGTGAGGCAACTTGAGGGAAAAAAGGGAAATTTCATGGGAGGGAGTGCACTGAAGGGGTTAAATCGGATCTAGTTATATATAAAAGCTTATATTGCTTGTGCCCCATAAAACATGAAAACCAACATCTAACGCTAAAAACATTTAGAAAGCCAGTGCTTAAGCATTAAGGAAGAAATAAGATGAAAAAATAAAATTACAACCATTCATTTCCTCATCCCATTTTCAAATTATTCACTCGTCACTACACTTGCACCGAGTATGTTTCACACAGAAGCAAAATCTCTAAGCTGCTCCCTACCTTGGGTTTTTAGTCCAAATTAATGCAAACAATCACGTGGGACCCAGCCAAGCAGTGACGTTCAATTCTGCTCTGTCAGAGAGAACATCTGTCAAGCCCAGATATAAACTGCTGCCTGCCTGTGCAGCAGCTGAGGAAGCGTGGATTTCATATTACAGACTAAAGCCCAGGAAAACTGCTCAAAATCCTCCCTGCAGCTGTCAGGCAGCCACAAAGGGGAGCTCAGCCCGTCCTTCCCCAGCCCAGCCGAGCACTCCGTTCCAGCGCCGGCGGCTCCCACTGCAGGTCCGGGTGGTTCCCAGAAACATGGACACTGAGGAGAGGACGCAGCTCTGCATCGTCCGGCCGGGAAACCGGCAGACGTAAGGAGCTTCCATGCATCGCCGGCTGCCAGGAAGAGTCAACACTGCTCCCAGCAGAACGGACGACTACAGCTCTTTTGTTTAAAGCCAGAGAAAATGAAAGAAAGGGGAAGCCTCCGAAGACCAGCACCCGTATGAAGGAGGAGGGTGCCAGGAAGACAGGCAGACAGATGGACACTCTGGACCCCGTGAAAAGCAGGCGCAGGCGGCAGACCACTGGGGATGTGCGCATGTTCGAGGGCATCTTTCTGCTGAAGGGATGGCGAGCCAAGAGTACGGTCAGTGGGCATAACCCGGTCCACACGGATGGCCTGACCAGGAAAGGTACGTGGCTGTCTTGTGTGCGATGTGCATTTGAATGTCTGCTCCCTACCCGGTGTGGCCCTGGAGGCACTCGTGTCTGATAAACAAGTTCCCGCAGCTCACTGCCCTTGAAACTGCGAGAGGCTTTCGGAATGTATTATCTAAAATGTGTCATTGTTTAGAGCACAAGCCGTCACTGCTGTATTCCAGTGACCACGGGGCTTGGAGTAATTACAGATTATAGGCATACAGCCGATACAAGGCAAATAGTAACAAGATGTGCTTAAAGGTTTCTGAAAAATTAAAACTTAAAAAAAAAATCTGCAGCCCTCTAAAGAAAGCATAGCAATCCTCTACCAAATTAGGTCAAACTGAATCCTTACCCAGTAAATTACAGTGCTCCCTTGAAAATGGCTATCAAGAGAGACAATGCAGTGAAATCACATTAAATAGTATCAGAGAGGATGTTAACAAGAGCTTTTTCAGTCCTTTTAAAACAAAATCCTTACAGCAGCTTTTAGTAACAAAGTCTTCCCTCCAAAATTCATCTCCCCAAATAGAGAGAACGAATACGACCCATGCGAGTACCCACAAATTTTAAGTATTACCGAGCGGTAACAGACTACAGGGAGAGCATTTGCACAGGTTCACAGAAGGCATGAGCTTATGCACAGCACATCACAGTGGATGCATGTTACACTGTTCATGAAGACAACTTTAAACAAAGAAATAGCAATAGTTGCTGGAAATGCCCCATTTAAAAGAGTGAGCTTTAATTTTAAGCAACAGACTGCTTCTGAAAGGTCACACATAGGCTTTTATTCTCGGTGGTCATTTTTGAAACTCAAAAACATAATACTAAAACACTTTGATATCAAGACATCCATAAATAGCACTACAAGGTCAAAAATTAAACATAATGTAGCCACTGTGCTTCCAGGCTATGTTATATGTAGTAACAAACCACTGCCATGGTGTGTAAGCACAGGGCAGAAATAGATCTAATAAACTATTTCAGCAATCACAGTTATAATAGCAGCTCATGGTTCAGGAACTCAAGGATGTTTCTAAAATTTTTTATAAATCTATGGAAGATCTTAATTTTACTCAATTTCACAGCAATTAATCATAAAAGGCAAACATCTTAAAGGCACTTGTAAGCGTGCCATTCTAAAATTAATACTAAACAAATTTTATCAGGCCCTATTGTTATTATAATCTCAGCATCAACTCTCATTCATACCATGAGTTTTTATTCCATTTAAGAATGAAATCGGGGGTACTGAAAACATGTGGTTGTAAAACTCTCAAGTCTTGCTCAGTGCCTTTATGTCTCAATGTTCAAATTACCAATTAAACATTTTTATAAGCTAGATATCTCAACACAAAAGTGTAGAATTTTTCATTCAAGCACCACTGAAATCTAGGACTGTTTCAACAAAGTAAAGATAGCAACACTTTTATAAAAGCCAAATGATAAAAACAGTACGTGTGTGTACTAACTCAACATTTTACTGTAATATCCTCTCCATGAACTTTAATCTGTAAGGTATGAACACACATTAATAAGTTGAAAATATTATCATAAAACATAGGGGATATAAATCAAAAGCTATTCATATGCTGAAAATCTAAAGTGCAAAGCTATTTAGCATGCCCAACCATTTTAACTTTCTTGCCTTGTTCCCACTTTTTAAGGGGAAAAAAAACACACAAGAATATGTCGAGAATAATTTTACCATGTAATAGAAGGTTGTGATTTTACTTTATTTTTAACAAAGAAATAATACCTGAGAAAATTTATCAATAAAGAATTTTTTAAGGCTAGACACATGCACTTTTTTTATTATCAATGGGAGAGTAACAAATGGATACAAATGATTTCAAGCCAGAACAGCTTCCTATTTCACAGGCACACAAACACCATGAATGTAAATCAAGACGCCCCTGCATCACCCATTGCTGCAAAGCCACAGAGAACCCTGAACTATGCAGTTTTGCTGGGCCACAATGTGGAGCACTCGGCTGTTTCCGGTAACACGGAAACACTTCAGGTGTGGCGTGTTCACAAACACACCACAATTTGTCACTGTCTTCACCCTCACGCACCTCCTCCGTCCTCCAGGCACACATTCACCCAAACATTTACTGCTTCTCGAACTATAAGATTTAAACTTTTAAAAGATTTCAACAATTGGGACTTCAATCAGTTTCCAAGCACTATTATATCAACAGAAAGCTGCCACATTTTAATCTAGCTTTGGATTGTTTAAAATAGATTATCAAATACATTTTAAAGGTAATTTTCCTTTTCAATTTATACTCATAGACCTGATATCTACTGGTTTCTTTATGGGATGGAAGAAGAATCATTACTATTGATCAGATATTTCACTTGAAAACAAAAGCTTAGGAAGAGTTTCTCAGTCTAAACAGGCTGCTATTTACAGAACGAGGAGGGAAAGAGTGAGTTTCTGAATCAGAACACTCAGCCCTATTATGTCCAGCTTAGCTCACTGCAGAACTATGTTTTACTGGTGGAAGGAATAGCCTTGGTCTTCACTGTAGTAATGTAAGATTAAAATTCATGTAAATAAACTCGAATAAATAACAAGATAGTTTTAAAAATCCCAAAGCTAAAAAAAGAATCAGTTTATATCTCACAAAATGATTAAATAATTTTCTACATTTGAGAAATACCATTACTTCTAAAAAAGCACTACTTTCAGATACTACAAATTATCAAAAGCTGATGCCTGTACTATATTACACTTTAGAAATTTGTTCAAACTCCCAGCTACTTGCTCCCCCTAGTGGCTGTTACTAGCAGCACTTTCATTCACATATACGTCTTAACACTTTCAATATTTTCAAAGTACTTCACATTATATACATGAATTTCATTCTATAATTATTCAGTTATATAAAAACTTTCATTATTTCCTCCAAAATAGTTAAATTTCATGTCAGAATTAAGTAAATTTGGTATTAACTATGAATCTCTCAACATCACAGGCTAAATGAATACACACATATGTATATTATAATGTTTATAATGTATTAATATACATACATAAAATTATACATACAAATAAACAAATGGCCCTACATTAACTAGTTTTATTTTGCTTAAAGTAGTAAGCTTCACAATAAAACGTTGAAAAAAGCCAAAACTGCACATTTGTTAACACCCTCACAGAGAACGGAAGCTCGGCTTCTTCCGCCCCCCGCACCCGCACCCCCTCTCCTGGAGGCAGAAAGACCAGGAGCCAGCCGCAACCACGGTCACACCTGTGCTGTGCGCTGGGAACCCTGGGCGAGGACAACACAGCCACTTCTTCACGTGGGCGCCGTGCACCTTCCACACCGACATCCCCCAATCTTTTAAAAAACCTCAGGCTCTGAATGTCACGCTAGCAAAAGTCCTAAAAATGTAACAAATCCTCTTCATGCAAATTTAAACCACGGCGTAACTCGAGAACCTTTAAAAATACATTCTGTGAAAGTTAAAATTTTAAACAGTGGGCTGTGACGGTACCCAGCACCTGCACTCTGTGCATCTGAAAAGACTGCGGAGGCCACTTCCCTCCGGCTCCAACATGGAGGCGAACCGGGACACGTGCCGGTGCCTGCCGCGGCCACAGAGGGTTGAATGAGTCGTTGTTACGTATTTTTTTAAAATCCACCTTGAGTCTAAGTAAGGATAATGATCTCCTGAATGCTTCCTATTTGAAGAACAAGGTTAAAAATCAGAAAAGAGTGTTTGACGATGCTCATCGTTCATTACTGCCTCAAAGCCCTAGACTGAAGCTACTGGGCCCTGAAAATTAACTCCGGCAGGCGCACCTTCTCCCTGACTTTCTCGGCACAGCGGGGGCCGGTGGAGACGAGCCCGGCAGCCCAGTGTGACTAGCAGAACTCTGCCGTCGTCACCTCGCCCTGTCTGTCCCACAGCTGACACATGGCCATTTTACAAAGAAGGCTGCTGAGTGTGCACACCCCACCAACAGTGTGTCAAATCAATTTTAATTAATGCCAATAAGACTTCCACCTGCTCTCAGGCCTTGTTACATGGCCCCTCTCAGAAATCTAGTAACATTCTCGCTTCTAGAAACAAGCAACTTTTAAATCTTTAACTCGGGTGCCAAGTACAAACGCCTGGGGCTACTGAGAAAATTAAGTGGAAGAACAGCAAGGTGCTCACAGTGCTACCACAGAGTATTTCTAGAGAAGCTGACCCTGCCCTCAGCGAGGTCACGGTGCCAAAGGGAAACAAGTTTTAAACTGCATTCCAGGGTTATCACATTTCTATAGCTTCCAAATGCCCATCTGCCCTAATTTTATTATCATCCAAAGTCTCCTTCAGGCATCCCCATAATACTCGGCATTTTGTAAACTTGTATATGCTCTATCTCTACAGAATGACCGCAAGGGAGACCACGTGACCGAACAGAAATGCTGCCCAAAGAGCAGCCCTGACCCAGCAGAGGCAGAACGGCGCGGCCTGCAGTCTCCCCTCCCGTCCCGTCCCTCCCCGGGCGCCTGCACCATGCTGCAGTGGAGGCGGCGGCACTGCTGCTGGGCCAAGCGGTCTCTGTTCCGGACCCACCTCATCGGCGCCCTCTCCCTGGTGTTCCTCTTCGCCACGTTCTTGTTCTTCAGTCACCACGACTGGCTACCAGGCCGAGCCGGATTCAAAGAAAACCCCGTGACCTACACTTTGCGAGGATTTCGTTCTACAAAAAGTGAGACAAACCACAGCTCTCTTCGGAATATCTGGAAAGAAACAGTTCCTCAGACTCTGAGGCCTCAAACTGCAACCAACGCCAACAACACGGACCTGTCGCCACAAGGAGTTACAGGGCTGGAGAACACACTCAGTGCCAACGGGAGCATCTACCGCGAAAAGGGTACCGGACATCCCAATTCTTACCACTTCAAGTATATCATCAACGAACCTGACAAATGCCAGGAGAAAAGCCCCTTTTTAATCCTACTCATAGCAGCAGAGCCTGGACAAATAGAAGCTAGAAGAGCTATTCGGCAAACCTGGGGAAACGAAAGTCTAGCCCCTGGAATTCAAATCACACGAATTTTTTTGTTGGGCCTAAGTGTCAAGGTAAATGGCTACCTTCAACATGCGATACTGGAAGAGAGCAGACAGTACCATGACATAATCCAACAGGAGTACTTAGACACATACTACAACCTGACCATCAAAACACTGATGGGTATGAACTGGGTCGCCACACACTGCCCACACATTCCTTACGTCATGAAAACGGACAGTGACATGTTTGTCAACACTGAGTATTTAATACACAAGCTACTGAAGCCAGACCTGCCGCCCAGACGTAACTATTTCACTGGGTACCTCATGAGAGGATACGCACCCAACCGAAACAAAGACAGCAAGTGGTACATGCCACCGGACCTCTACCCCAGCGAGCGCTACCCGGTCTTCTGCTCTGGGACTGGCTACGTCTTCTCCGGAGATCTGGCAGAGAAGATATTTAAAGTTTCTTTAAGCATCCGTCGTTTGCACTTGGAGGATGTGTATGTAGGGATCTGTCTTGCCAAGCTGCGGATTGACCCCGTGCCCCCTCCCAATGAATTTGTGTTCAATCACTGGCGGGTTTCTTATTCGAGCTGTAAATACAGCCACCTGATTACCTCTCATCAGTTCCAGCCCAGTGAACTGATAAAGTACTGGAACCATTTACAACAAAATAAGCACAACGCTTGTGCCAACGCAGCCAAGGAAAAGGCAGGCAGGTATCGCCACCGTAAACTGCACTAGAAAAGACAACTTGTCTTCCCAAATGTGCAATCTGTAAAATATTGCTAAAAGCATGTATAATTAAGATTGATTACACCCATAGGACAAGTTTTAGTTAAAACTCATCACATAAAAGAACTCTAAAAGTATTTTTTTAATTTCTGAAAAGGTAATTCTTAAAAATACATTATAGGACAAAAAGGCACCCTGAGAGGATCTAGAGAAAAACTGTACGCGGGGATTCTGTGTATTAACATGCAATAACAAGCATGCACTCACCATGGCTCCAGTCTTACGTTAGGGGCCGACACGATGTATTTGCATATATTTTCCACGTAAGTTTTTATTTAAGAAATGGAGACAGTCGAGAGACCCTTCATTTTAGATTCAGTTCTACATGTCGATATATAATTATATGTAAATAAAACATCACTGTCAATTTTAAGGAAACTTTGTAATTGTGTGAAGACAGATTTTCTGGGGTTCTAAAAACTGTATTACGTGCAATAAGATTTAGTTGAGTTACTCCAAAAACACACTTATAAAGTTCAGATGTTTCATCAATCTGTTCTCATCTAAGTACTTATTTTTCAAAAACAATTGAGATATTCATTTTCTTTTAAGACTCACATATATCAAGGAAGTTATTTTGAAATGATGTGATAAAATGTGAAAAATCAATGTGTCTCAGGCTCAAATTTTTATAAAAACAAAAAATTAAATGTTTCAAAACAGACAAATGTGTTCTCCTGTTGGTGCAAGAGCCACACTAGTATTTGAAGGAGCTATTCCACTAGCTCGGGGACTGCACTCTGAAGGAGTACTTCCACTTCACTTCAAGCGTATCTGTAAAAATACATCATGTTCCTCACCGCAGCAGAAGTGATAACTTACAGGCACAAAGAGAACGCACTGCTAGAAACAGATAAAGGGGAAAAGAGGGCAGCAGCAGCTTCATTCAATCCATTTTTAAGATGCATGTCTGCCAAACGGCAACATATGGGAAGCTGGTATCTTGGCAGCAGGAGTGCACACACCAACATTTAATCATTTCTCGGAACCTACTTCTTCCCAAGTGCCAGTTTACAAAAACCTGCAGTTTTTAATTTGGTAGATGACGAATAGTCTGCATCTCCAGTTAAAAACCTTTTTGGGGGAGTGAGAGAAAACAACAAATGTTTGGTGAACACTTGATTCTAGGATGAACAATGTATTCAGTGCACTTTTATCAAGTTTTTAATAAAAAAGGTAAACAAAAAATCTTTACTGAGTGTTATGGTACAAATATTTTCTCAGTAGTTTTGTTTGATTCCATCACAAAATTAAAAATCAGGAAATACTAAAACTACTAGCTCTAAAATGGTGTTTTTATTTCATACAGCTATGTAAATTTATTGATCTTAGGCAGAATGTTACTTATCCTAATTCTAATAATGATCGTTTGTATCTTTGATTCTGAAGATAATGCATCAAATCAGAATTGTAACATTTGATAAACTTCAAAATTAGAAACTGTACTTATTTAATATGTTGAATTCTATTTATACTCGATTCATCTCCCATTTTCAATGCACTAGTCTGAGTGTTCTATTCTATATACAGTAATTCTCAAAGCTGAGCTAACACCCCCAGTTCTTGGTTTTTCACTTAATTTAAATTCCATACATTACAAAAAGACTAAAATTAAATCCCCAAATTACTAAATAAAAGTCACACATAAGATGACAAGAATACCAAAGCAGCGAAATCTGATGGAAGGCAGGAGGAATACACCCCTCGGTGTAGAGCACTTCTCTCATTCGCGCCCCTGGCGCGGAAGGGACACAGACCAGCGGGCGTGTGAGCGCGTGTGAGCGTGCACAGAGCCAGAGCCCCGCGCCATCGGTCCAGCATGTGCGTGGTCACGGTGCAGGATCTTTAAAAAAACAGTGTCTCCCCTCCAGAAAACTTCAAGTTTAAAAAGCTGGCTTGGGAAAAACAACTCTTAATAGACAACTAAATTCCTCCTATCTCAGGCACCAGTTTAAAATCATTTCTAAATCCCTGATATTTTCTTGAAAACTGATGGTAACTGACAATACTCTGAGTTCTCAAAGAGCACTGGACCAAATAACAGTTTCTTAGTACTACTGAGAATCCTTGTTTTAAAATAAGTATTCTATGATTACTTTATATTTGACCTTCCACTGTCAATAATATGCAAGCTGATTTCTTCAGCAAAATAGGAATTTCTGTGTATTTTAAAATATTTAAACATTTCACCAAATATTGACTATGCCTTACTCATGCCCAGAACTATGTAATTTTTATTATACATGAAAACATAACTTTAAATGACAATGTTGCATTTGGTCAAGGAAAAAAATTACAAAGTAATCTGTATGCTCAGTATTAATAGATATTTTAGAAGAAAATATCTAAACTCTTAATAGCAAAACCTCGTAATACTTATGCATTTATTTTGCTCAAGATCTTAAGTGATGAAATTCTAATTCAAGTGTTAAAACTGAAACTTGTCGCCTCTCACTATACTGCATAATTGTACTTAAGCTCAACTGCGCCAGCAGTAGTACCTGCCACCCGAAAGCCCTACGGGAACAGTCACAGAGCAACAGGCACCCTGCCTGGCCGAGCCCCGCGTGTGCTGTGCCGGCGCCGGCGCCATGTCAGAGCACTGCACACACACACCACACGGCTGCCCGGAGTCACCACCATACCGGGAGCAGGAGAGCCTCGGGGGCTCGCTAAGAGGCAGGGCGCCTTTCAAAGGCCACTCTCATAACCACTGCACTCCTCTGCTGCGCATTTTCCGCAGCGCCCGCCGTGGGGGCTACAGCGCTGGACATGGCCTGTCCACTGTCTCCTGTTCTCTGCTGCTCTTGGTCCGCTGCAGGGGCGCCTGCCGCTAGGTGCGAGTAAAGAGAAGGGAAAGGAGAGGCCATCCGTCCTTCAGTTACCATTCCTCTCCTTCCCACCGCTGCTGTCAGGCGGCCAGAACCTTGGGAAAGCACAAGCTCTGTGCTTACCTCTTGCTCCTTTGGACACTGAGACACATCTGTGAACAGGCGTGGCACTGACCAATCCCAAAAGGTGCTTCTGCTGAAGCACAACCCATCATTCTCAACAGACAAAGAGTACTACATGTACCCAATCCACCGCTTTACTCACCACATGTTGTGGTGAGCCAGTAAGACCCTCTGACCCAGCTGATCTGGGCTCTCCCACCCCCAGTGTTTGCTGCCCAACTACAAGATCTGACTATTACATTAACAGAGATTTAAGAAGCAAAAGTAATATTCGCAGTATATACTTTTAATATATCCTGCAGATTATCAGCGTATCAGAAGGCAGGTTATATACATCAAACACTAAAAAGGCGCATCTTGACTTCAGGAAGAAACCTATTACTGTGCACTCCATCGACGCAAACACACACCCTCGTCCACGCACAACACAAGGACAAACCTCACTGCTTTCAAGATAGTCTGCCAGCAGAGGAAAAAGAGCATCCTTGGCTCTACAGGACTGTCCCCTGCCCTGTCCCCCAGAAAAGGACTGAGCTAGAAAACAGCGAGAGTTAATGCAGCTGCCTCGGTCTGTTTACTAATCTAATTATTTCAACCTGCAGCTGAATTTTGACCGATTTTAAATTTGTATCCCACTTGAGACAGTATCATAAACACTGAAAAAAAATAAAAATATATCAACAGCACATTAAAATATATATTAACTCAAGTTCAATCATTGTTGAACTGAATTATAACTACAGAAGAGAATAACATTTGTATTTATTTATAACATCCAACAGATCAAGTGACTCAAAGAATAAAAAGAATGCATAAAATTAGTCAAAGGCAAGATTAAAATACTAAAGCAAGAGTCTTTTCTTAAAATTTTTTAAGTTCGTATAGTATGTGAATGGAAATCACTAAATGACTAAAGATATAGAATATGGGGAAAAGTATCAGTAGCTAAGAAAATATTTTAAATGATGATAAAAAACTTACTATAAAGCAGTAACAATTTTGGTTTGTGCAGGCACAAGGATCAGGCAGTTGTATTAAAAAAAAGTTAGCTCTGAAAGAAACCCTAACATGTATACTAACCTGGCATCATGAACAAATTAGAACCAATATACATACCATTATTCAACAGAAAAACTGGCTGATGTCTAAGGTTTAATGCTTAGGATTCAGGTTAAGTCCTCTTACTATTACTTAACTCATACTATTAAAGAATAAATGAATTCCAAGTTGGGCAAAGTAAGTATAATACTGTACTAATAATTACCAAATCTATTATGTGCCAGGTACTACACTAAGCATTTTAATGAGGGGGTAGGGGACTATTTTATTGATCACAAAGTAAAAATCAGAGAGAAAGAAATCAAGCAGAAAAACTAACCTCTACATAAACTAATGCCATAAACAAAATTAAAAGACAAAAGGCAAAACAGAAATTGGGAAAAAATGTATAATTAACAGAGTCTTGATATAAAAAGAATTCCTAGAAGTCACAAACAACAATGAAATAACCCAATGAATAAAATACGTTCAGTCTCACTAATCACATAAACGTACTTAAAAATTAGTACGGTCCCTTCTTCATTAAAATGGAAGAATTTTTTTAAAAATAACTGCCTATGGCACTTATGAGAACAGAACATCCCAATGACAGTGTAAAGTGGTAAAGTCTTTCTGAAAGACAACTTAAAAATATTTAACAGGAGCTTTTGAGAATCATCAGCCCACAATTAAAAATCTATTGTAAAGCAATATTCAAGGAAGTAAAACACAAGAAAACATGTTCACATTCAAAACAGAGATTAAATAAACTGTGGTGGTTAAAGAATAGAATAATACTACAGTCGTTTAAAACTTGAATTTAGAGACTATTTAATAACGTAGAAAACCATTTACATACTGTATTAAGTCCCTCCCCCCAAAATCAGTATACTATATAGCATAACCTTATTCCACAACCATACATATTAAAAAAATTAAAGCCCAGAAAATGAATGCTCAAAAAACAGGAATGGTAATGATTTCTAGAAAATGGGATGTCTGTTTTCTTCTTACATTTTTGTGTATTTTTTCAATTTTCCCAGGTTTAAAAATCAGTGAAAAAAGAAGTCATTAACAAGCTAATGGGCATTATAGACAAAGTAGATCTTATATACTGTAATCATTAAATCCACTCTAATTTAATAACTTTCAAATATTTTTAAAGAACTTTCTAGAGTTATAGAAGATAACCAAAACTTTAATAAAGTGACGGACTAGATCTTTAAAGAGAGAATTTTTCCATCATTCAGACACTTTTTAAGAGACTACAATTTGCCAGGTGCTGACACTAATGATGGTAACTAGAGAGGACATGGTCTGAATTCAATAAACGATGTTTGGGTAACTGAATGGCCGTAAGAAAAATAATTAGATCTGTTCCTCAACCATGTATCAGAATAATCTTCAAACAGATCAAATATCTTAATGTTAATAATGAAACAAACCAGTTCTAGAGGGGAAAATGTGAATTTCTTTATAACCTGGGAGAAGAAGAAATCTACCTAAATATGACCAAACTGAGAAACAGAGAGAGATTTATAATTGTGATTACATAAAATTTTGGAAAAATCTCTTGCATGGCAATAAAAACATGAAATCAGAAGACAAATAACAAAC